TCCAACTGGCGTGAAAACTTGGGAAACCTGCTTTTCAGGGGTGGTGTGGCAGGGAGCGTCCTCCTTGATTTCTCTAGGATGTCCTCTTTAACAGCGTTAGGGAAAAATTGTGGCCTGTTGCCAACTTTCCTTTCCTGTTGTCACGTCCCCTATTCAGCTTAGTTTTAATCTCATGCTTTAAAAAATAAAATCACTTGCTCTGTGGAACATGAGGCCCCGACGAAAGGAGAGGGTGCCCCTTTTCCCTCAGTTCAGGTAGCTCATGGCTAAACTGTGATAATCATCATTTATAGATGTAACTTCTACCATCTGTCCCCTCAACCCTTCCTTTGCCCCAAACTGGCATTATACTGATGCCATTTCAAGACCCAGCTAAAGCCATGATGAACATCTCTTTCGTTTCAACTGAGTTCTTTCCCCATCTCATATCAAGACATTGTAGAAATATCTTTTTTTTTTTTAAGCAAAAGAGGTATTTGGGGGAAGAGATAATCCCCATGTCCCATTTCTTACTACTCTGTCCACAAGTTGCTTTCTCAAGGTGGCTGCTGGATCAAAATCTGGCCGATGAGAAAAGGGCTTTTGATGACAAGGTTGATGTTGCATTGATTAGCAACGGGCAGATATGCTGACTCTTTGCTCTCAGTTGCAGTCCCCTTCATATGTGAGTGGGGCAAAACCAGATTTGACACTGCTTCCTTCACTCTGGCCCTCATCTGACATTGTCCCTTCCCATCTCATCTTGCACCTTGTCCTTTGCCAACCAGACTGGCTGGCGCATGGAGGATCTGGTGCATTTTTCCACCAGAAGATCCAGCCACGTCTAGGGTAGAGACATGTTGACTCCACCAGATCCAAGTTGACTAGAAGGATTAGACTAAGGGGTTGGACAGTCCCTTCCAACCAGATGCTTCCATGACTCCAAGTTGACATCTTTGCAGAACTAAGTTTTTGTAGTCTTGTCCACCACGACCATCATGGTACTTGTCGTCTTGAGGAATCCTACATTTCTTATTAAAGCAGGGATTGGGTGTAGTTGAGTCGGTCAAGCGATTTCTCAGCAAAACGAGTTCCTAGAAACAACCATAGAGACTTATAGGGGTTAGAGATCTTCCAGGGGATCATACAAATTTACAGCTGCATCATTTTTCCCCCCTCTTCTGCCACTTGCATTGTCACTTCTGTTTCCTTTTAGAAGGAGATACCAAATTGGGCAGTTTGTGGGAACTGAGAACAACCAGGAAAAGTGGATACCAGCCAGGAATAAAGAACAAATCGATTTCAGATCCTCATTTTTCTGGCCCAAAGTTTCTTTCCGCGTCATTTTCAGATTATTTCTGTAAACAAACAAGTTTGCACAAAAATCTGCATGCGTTCTTGTGTGCGTTTCTCTAAACATATGCATTTTTGTACTTGGTTTCTCCTAAAATAAGCCATTGTTGCTATTATTTTTGCAAGTCCAACATCTCTTTCAAAATCACATTCTTGTTTCAAATGGTTGATTTAGGGGTGAAGGTTCAGGCAGTTAAGTATAACAAGTAGGATTTTTTGTTCTTATTTCATAATCACCAAAGATGGTATTTTCCCAGAAATATCTTTCTTGATGTTTTTTGCTTGTCTTTTTGCACTTCCATGCAATATACTTTTTTAAAAAATCAATGTTTTAAAGAAAATGAGACAACTTTAATTCTGTTCAGAGATAAAACAGAGATTAAACTCCTTCTTCAAACTGTTTGCTTTATTCCCCTTGCCTAATTAACATGTATTATAATTAATACAAATTTTACCGGTAAGAAAAAGTCAGAGAATATATTGAGAGATCTTATAAATTGAATTTTATTTTTTAGCTCTTGTTATGTGTGGTTGGAGAGTGTGAAATAGGCTGAGGGCTGAATTTTTTCTTGTTTGTTGGTTGGTGTCCTCTCTCTACACTGCAAATAATTTAAAATCTATTTGTAAAATCACCAGGCGCAACTCAAAAAATAAAGATTATTTAACCTATTTGCCTCCGATTGCTTTGTCTGCAGCTCTGAGCAATATCAAAATTTCTTTGTTGTAATTATTCAGATGCCTGCCTTTCCTCTAAGTTGTCCAATGTGCCCAATTCTTTCCTAGTGTGTCATGAACAGTATCTCTCTGAGAAGGTCTTCAATTTTGAGGTTTGTGGTTGAGCGGAGATGTAATCTTGAGTTTCCATAATTGATTCTAGAATGGAGATCCAATTTTGCAAAAGCTGCTAGTTGGGGGATCCTGTTTCCTTCTAACAACTTCCTCTTCCTCCTCCTTGCTGGTGCTGGTACTTGGGTTTGATTTGCACCTCTTTCCTGAGAAAAAGCTTCAAAATTCAAAAATTCTGTGTCCTTAAAGAGAGGAACGGAGAAGCTGGTCCCTCCATACATTTTGGCCTTCAACTCCTGCATGCCTGTTTCCAGAATGACCAACAGCAAGGAGTATGGGCCTTGAAATCTGTTTGACTGGGTTCTCCTAAAAGTTGTGTCCTCCTGTTTTTTTTATAGTTTTCCAACTTGATCAACAAGGACTTGTTGCAATTCACGACCAGGGGAACCATTACTGGTTGCCTTTTATGGACGTATCTGGTGTTCCTTTCCTTTCTCCAAGTGTTCATGATTCTGCAGCTCACTCTCAGTTCATTACAAACAATGTCACCATTCTAATTTTTGGGTGGGTGGCAAAGACGTTTTATGGGGATCAGCTTACAGTATGTATTAGTTCTGCTATCTGCAGCATTCCATATGAAGACAGATGATTCCTTTTAAGGCCCACTGTAGAGAATACAGAACATTACAGTATTTCTTCATGGTATTATTAGTCCTCAGAGGTGTGTTGTAAAAAATATATATATATATACACACACACACAGACACACACACACATATAGGATTAGAATTGTCATTTCTCTTGGTACACTGTGTAATGTGATGGTGTTACAGCTTGCAGCTCTTACTGATAGATCGTATTTCATGAGACTGTTATGTAGGTGTGTGAATCTGCTTGGCAAGCAGGTGATCCACGATTCAGGACTCAGTGTCAATTCCCCTAACGGTAACCAAGAAGCAAAATTCTCACCAAGTCTTGTTAGCTGAGTTTATTGCAGGGAAAGAAAGAATCAGGTTACTGAATCTTGAAATGTGCATACTTCAGCTCTCCTTTTCTCAGTGAGTGTGTTCCAGTGGGGGGTCCTCAATGCATTTTTGATCCTCTTTCCAACTCTCTTGATTTAAGGAGGAGCTGGCTGGCCATTTAGCAGGTATGAATCTCTGTTTGTTCTTGTTCTGCAAAAGTTTGCAAACATCCAATCTCACTCCCAGGCTCAAAGACTTCCATTGCATTCATCAACCTTGATTCGAAGGGTTTCAGGGTTTCCATGCTGGAGAAAAATTGGTATCAGGCCTTGTAGTTGAAAAGGATCCTTATAAATAGGTGCTGTACCATATCTGTATGTAACTCAGCTCATAGACTTGCTTTCAGAAGAATCCTGGGCTTGTTTTTCATCCAGCATCTTAATTCAAGAGAACAGCTGCTGGTGAAGTTAGATCATGTTGAGCTAGATGGACTGATGCTGCTGTAGAACTTTATACTTAATGTCTAAGCGAGGTATATAAATGGCACATAGACATACGTTGTTTTCGAAGTTAAGCAAGGTATCTTCTCTGACTACCATCCATCCAACCTGAGTTGTCAAGTTCAGTAGTCTTTAAAGGAAGAGGAAGCTCCTATTGGTTTTGCTAAGAGTTTTCCAGGAGCGCCACCAGAGACCAGGTAACCTCCCGAGATCATGGTCTAGAAGACAATCCCGTTGTGGAGAAAGCTGATGGTTTGGAAGGGCCAAGACCTCTTGACTCCTGATCCACACCTACAAAGAGTGCTGAAGCAGCATTTCCATCTGCGTATGTTTCCTGGTGGATGGCTCCTTTATTTTCCTGACTCTCCTGGCTTCTGATTCACTGAATGGATGCTGGTAAGTATTAATATATTGATCTATATTGAAGAGATGCTATGATGTGGGAAGGGCAGGTGAGAAGTGAATGATAAGGACAGGTTGGGAAGACTATAAATTATCAGGATGATCAGAAGTAGCTTGATGAGACCATCGGATGCAGATCTGAAAACTCTAATTATGATCCTTTCTGGCCAGGCAGTTGACTGCCTTGTTGTTATCACAGCCACTGCAGACACACAGACACAGGTCTTGAACGTTTGGGTACCACCACCATTAAACTGGGCAGCCTTTGTGTCCCATTGCTGACCAAAATATCAGCTTCCGTTTCAGCTGCAGGCATTGTTGTTCCACGCCATGGGAGAAAAGGAAAGAAAACTTACTTCAAAACACAGCCTTTGTTTATATTTTGATTTTATTCACCATGTCCCAGAATGGTCCTCACCTTTCTTTACCTCTCCAAGGATTTGGATGCCAGCCTGGATGCATGCAAAGAAACATAGCTTGTCCGTCTTTGTGCAAATCCACTTCAAGGTGGACTTCAAATCAAGGTTGGACATTTCCTCCGCGTTCCAACTCACCCTGTTGATCGGTTTTCCTGGAATGTTTCCCCTTGCTTTTTCTTTTTCTCGTTTTGCTTTCAAGAAAATCTCCGCTCCTGGACTCAAGAGATGGGATCGCTCTTGCTCTAAACTTCCAGTGTCCTTGAAGTCTTGGAAGGATCTTGCCAATGGCAAAACTGAATGTATGATGTCCTGGCGTCTCGTCCAACATTGTTCCTGGCATAAAGCATCTCTCATTAATATTCACAAGGCGCTAGTTCACCATTTAACATTACCATGAAAGTTTTTTTTCCTCCCTAAGGGGGTGTGCGTGTGTTGTTTTTTGCCTTGTACCTAAAGACAGAGAACAGGCCTCTACATTCAGAAAGCCCAAGTGGATTCTCACTCCCTGTTGCAGTTGAAAGAATTACCTATTGTACACACCTTTAAATCCAGCCACTGCCCATACTGAATTTATGCATTTTAAAGGCATTCATCTTGTTTGCCATGGAGACTCAAACTTGCCGACGATGTGTAATCCAAATGGTGATTTTAATATCCGTATTGATATATCTATATCTACCTCAGTATTTCTGAATGTTGTGCATTCTCCTCTCGGTCCTCCACAGATCTGGGATGTCTGCATTTTCTTTGGGTGAATTTTGTTTTTTAAAGAGAAAAAGGAAAAGGCAAGGGACGGTGGGCTCACCGTTCAAGCAGAAAGCAGATGAAGATGAATGGTAGATCTTCTGGTGATGCTTTGTGAAATGCTGAATTATTCAACAGCGGCCAAAGGTCACAACCCTTCTGATTTTGCTGCCTTATTTCTACCAAATTCTGCTGTAAATCAGAAAGGTCCCTATTATCAGCGTTTTCTATTTACATCTAGCAAAATGTTTTGAAATGTTTCCCGACTCTCCTGTCCCAAAGGTTCCTATTTTTTCCTTCTGCCCGCTCTTTCAAAACTAACTTGTCTCTGTGGACAAGGAACAAGCCACGTTTTGGGCCATACCGAATGCTATGGCCCCACTGGGGCAGAATTTAAGCGGGAAGCTACCCAGCGAAATCTTCCCCGCGTGGAGAGACCTAGCACGTCAGGGACAGAGGAAGACCAGAATAGTTTCCCCTTGTGACCTGTGAATGGGAATGGGCTCCCAACGTTTTCGCCCTGCAGGAGAATCTACCATTTTGGCTGAAGGACTGGGAGAGGCATAGGGGAACGCACCACCTTCCAAGCAAGAACCGGGAACAATGCTTTCCCTTTTGAAAGCCCCCTGCCCCCCCAACTCCTCCTCTCCTGAGTGGCCGAGGGGGGACCGTGCGGTTGATTGATGCAGTGATTTTCCCAGAAAGGGCTCAGCACCGGCTGTGTCTGCTGCAGCAGCAAAGGAGCTGTGCCCCGCGATTCGGAAGGTGCCACCAACCGTAAGTGAGACTTTTTCTGTCTCTGTCTCCACTTTTTCCCTTTCAAAGCAGTCGCCTTCTCGATGCCGTTTCTAAGTTCAGCTTTCCAGAAAGAGAGAACGCATTTCTGCTGGACCAGTGTGGGAAGATTATTGAGAAGCGCAATCGAATAGAACTTCAGGTATGGCCCAGGTGTCCTGGCCGAGGTGGACCATTGGTACAGAAAACCCTGCCCAGAATTTCTCCCAACTTTTCTCCAAGGCAAAAGGTTGCGTTTCCATCAGGAGCGTCCGATAGATTCCAGGGCGGGCAAAAGAGAATATAGGTGGCGAGGCTGCTGAGATTTTGCTGAGAATTTCCAATCGCCCTTAGACTTCCCCCCCAAGATGTGCCATTTATGAATATATTCATCTCGCTCTTTTTAAATGAACTGAATACAAAAACCAAACGAAAAGAGAAAGAATGCAGAAAAGTTTGTTTTTGTCTTTGTTTTGTGGATTTCGTTAATTAAAAAAAGGAAAAGAAGGTATTTGCCCCATTCCTAGGCAACGGTCCATTTTGGTATTGAGGAATGGAGTAGCGAGGGTTGGCGCTTTCTTCCCCATTTGGAAATCTTAAATGCAGTTTCAGCCTTTTCCGTTTAATCTCCTGTTGGATGGCAATGGTGATGATTCCGGAGTTTCTACATTCTATTAGTTCCAGATAATAGTTCTACAAAACTATTCAGCTGGAAGAAGCTTTCTATTTAAAAAAAAATGTTTTAACTATCATGTTATGCTTTGAATCCAGATGGATTCAGTCAAATAAATTGGTTTCCAAAATGTAATTGGCTGGAGGAGAATGCCTACTGAGATCCCCACCTGCTTCTGTTGCAGAATTCGCTCTCTGTGCCTTCTTCTCAAGTCATCAGTTTGTGTGTACGTATGTACGCACAGACTTCTGTATAAATTAAAATCTCCTTCCCTCCCAAACTTAAGACTTTGCTTTCTCCCAAACCCATCTATCACCGAAGCGTGCGTTGTTATCTTCATACTTGTATTGAATCATCTGATGGGACCCAATTCTACCCCTACATAAATTAAAAAAAAAAAAATCATTGTATTCAGTCATGCTAGGCTACCCCATCGCCTGAGGCTACATTTGGCTCCCTGATGATTTATTCTGTTCAAGTTCTCCTTCATGCAGAAATCTAGTACTTCAGGGAGAGGGCTAAATGAGAACAACCCCCTTTCTAAGAATGGGCTTGTTTTCCAGCATGTAAGTTGTGCATCGGGGTCCTGAAATGAGACGGTCTCAGATGATGTTGAGGAAATAAGTACACTCTAATTAACTGTGTGATTTTTTTTCTCTCTAACAGAGGCACCCCGGTAGAAAATTCTCCACTGTGATGGGCAAGGCTCTCGGCTTTATCTTTTGTGCGATTTTCCTTTTGCTTGGAGAACTTAAATGGGCAGGTGAGAAAGCTGAATTTTATCCCCTTTGCTCAAAGCTAGGGTCCAGACCCCACTCATCAAATTATTCTCAATACTTTAATTGCATCAAAAGTATTTTATGCAATGTTCTGCATGTATGTTTTCAGGACTCAGTCGGATCGCAGCTGATGAGCCCTGAGATTGTCCTCATATATGTAGAAAGAGAGAACACCCAATTAACCGATAATTAACCATCAGTTAATTTCCTAAAAACATTTTGACTGTCTGAAAAATATGTGGTCCAGCAGCAAGGCAACTAATAACACTGTTGTTTTATTTTGTTTTGTTTTGTTTTACTTTATATTTTATTTTATTTTTGGAAAGGGTTCTTCCTCTTGATTAAACTAATTAAAACTGACCTTATGAACCGATTGATGAACAGACTCTATGCAACAGAGAGTAATACTGTGGGCGATGTTGCAGTTTGGTGCCAATGATTTAGGTGGAATGTGAAAATATTTCCTTTCCTGGCACTTACTCTACTTGTTACAATTTTTCATATGACAGGGCCCTCCCCAAGAACTCGACATTCAACATTTGCATTCTTTCAACTCTATTTCTAACCACATAATGTGTCAAAACCTCCTCAGTCTGTTTGCTCACGCCTAGCTTGGTGAGAGAAAAGCTAAATCTTTCCCCTGTAAAACACTTGGAAGATGTATATGTTCTGAGGAGCTCAGATTTGGGGAAAATCTGCAAAAGAGATGTTGCTTAAGAATATTTGAACAAAGGAATTTTGATTTCACCAAGTGCTGGGCTTTGATTTAGGTTTATTTTAAATATTTAAGCTTAGATGTACTGGGTAGGTTTCATTTTGCTGGTAAAGAATTTGCCTTGTCGAGCGTTTTGTGTTGGTCTAGCAAAAAAATCTGCTTTGGGGAACTTTCTGTAGCAGCCTGAATGAGGGCAAAATGGGGTGGACATGAATAAGCCCAAATTCAGGTTTGACATCAGCTAAGATTTGTCTTTTGCTTGAATTCTCCTTGCTCTCCAAAGACCTCTCAGAACTGCTTGAATGAGAATCTTAAAACTTTACCCCCAGGAAAACTTTTGTCCCTTCCATTCACTCCTAAAGTGGGAAACCAGTAACTCCCCCGTTGATGGGACCTTGCCAAGACCTTCTGTGAATTAGGGAGGTGTCTGCCCGAATCACTTGCTCATACCTTCTTGTTTTGGACTTAAGCCATGTTTTTCCCCTTGTCACTTGGGTGACGGATCTGGCCTATCTCTGTCAAAGTCATCTTCCTTACTTTCTACACTTCTGTGCAAAGAAGACATTTTTTAATTACATCCAAGTTGGGTTATTGCATTGCGCTCATGTGTCACTCTAAATCGGGATGGAATTTTTGCTCATGACCGTTGGCCAACGTTTGGCTCCATCTTCAGACAAGTCCTCCTCTGGTTGTTGTGTAAAGTAACAGTGGTGAATGTCTGGTTGGACCACACAAGTGGGGAGTGAGGTTGACTCCGTGTGCAGAAGAGGATGAAAAGGGGATAGAGAATCCTTGGTTTAGTTATGAAGAGATTGCCACGGAGAGTGGCATTTATATATAAAAGATTTAGCCACCCTTAGGTCCGTGACAGCCTTCAGGGCTAACTCATTCCATTAATTTAGGATTCAACCCATGGAAATTATGAAATAATAATGAACAATTTTGAATATTAGTGGCATGAGGGATTACCTACAGCAGTGTTTCTCAACCTCAGCAACTTTAAGATGTGTGGACTTCTGGCTGGGGGGATTCTGGGAGTTGAAGTCCACACATCTTAAAGTTGCTGAGGTTGAGAACACTGCCCTACAGGAATGATTGAAGCTGATCAACTGTGAATTTAGCTGCTGAAAGCCCAGTTTGAACCCTAGCATCTTCATTTGAAAGGTTGAGAGAGCAAGTGATAAAGAAGACCTTTGAAAAAGAAATGGTAGAACTGTCATTGGTCAGGGCAAGATAACATGCAGGCAGGACCAAAGCTGATTTGATATACGGACCTCTCTTACAGAAAGAAAGTGTGATTTCTTGGTCAAATAAATGCTGTGCACCAAGGAGCCAGATCTAACATTCAAGCATCAGGTAGCAAGTGATATGTGTAGTCCTTTGTCTAGCCTGGTATCTTTCAGAGTTGACAATACTTTTAAGATAGAAGGATGAACAATCTGCCTTGAGTTTAGCCAAGCAGGTTTGAATCATGAGCATTTTGCTTGACCCAGCCAGTCTGATGCTTGGACATTTCTCTGTTTAATCCCTTCCTTCCTACCAGTTTCAAGATCAATTTAGATTCAACGACACAGAAAAGCAAGGAGTATCTTTGGAGCATCATCTCACCCTCCTGAACGTTTAAATATTTGGAGATAGGAGGACAGTTGGGCCTGCTTCCAAAATCTCTCTCAAGAAAATTTCCTTAGAGACCCTCTTAGGGGCCCAAAGGATTTCTATTAGATGTGTGACATTTCTCGAGGAGTTTGCCTCCTTTTTTCCTCTTCCCTGCTTTGCAAACATCCTTAAGATGTTGCTAGACTGAGCAGAACTGAATTCGAGGGCTCCTTTTTAGGCAAATAGAACAGTTTCTTTGGGGAGGGTCTTCCCTCAGCGCTGTTTCTCAATAATATGAATATATTCCATATTCATCAAGAAATACATATCATAACGAAGGGACGAAGCGCAACCAAGCAACTATTGATTTTCCAAAACATGGGCAAACATCCTTCCTTAATTCAATGCTCTTTGTGAAGAAGGTCATTTTTGGTTTATTTGTGCCGAATTCATTTTTTTTCTCTCCTTCCAAAACTTCCTTGGGTTTTCCCATTCTTCCTTCAGTTCCTCTACAACCATCCTCTCCAACTCTCTCAGCTCTCCCTCTCCTTCTGCGTCTGCACGCCCCATCACGCCAATAATTTCAGGATCCAAAGAGAGCAAAAAGAGTATTGACAAAATGATTTTTTTCTGTTGCCCATCCAGTTAGGAATCATAATAATACTTTATTGATTAGCCATTAGGCCATATCAGAATACAAAATATAAAATACAGAACAATAAAAGTCTATGTGTTATGAAATACAGTCAAAGGTATAACTAAAAGACAATGCAAATCATATTTCTGTGTCACCCCTACAATTTACCCCAGTCAGATCCATAGATGCAGTTCTCATTTGTACTGTTTTGTTCAGATAAAGGGCTGTATTATATGTGATTTTTGGGGGGTTATGACCACAAATGAAGTATGTTGTTTTAATGTAAGGGTCCCAATGGGCCGTTCGTCTAATGTGTGGTGCAAAATATTGATCTCACCAGTTAGGAATAGGTGGCCCAGGGTAGCTTGGGGTCTAAGACAGAGAGGAAAATGGCACCAATTAAGCCAACTGTATTATTACAGCAGGGCATCTCAGAAGCATTCTCTTCCTTCCCTGCTGCTAAAATATAGCAATACAGCATCTTTGCTGCCCTCCCACAATGCCCCAAACCGATGCTGGAAGTGGCCACTTCATTCTGATTAGGGCTGGCCCTGTAAAGAACATCCCCCCCCCACACTTTTGGGAACCTTCTTCTACCTTGCAGCCATCCAGATAGGGGGACTGCAGCTCCCAGAATTCTTGGGAATGGCTGTACTAGTGGGAGATTCTGGGAGCTGAAGTCCACTCAACTGGAAGTCACCCAATTTGGGGATGGTTAATCGAGAGCCTTGATCTGCAATCCGCAGCAGGACATATTGCACCACCCCAACATTTTATCTTGGATTCGAGTCCTGCTCGACCCCCACTTGTTCTCCAGCCTTGTGCCCTGTTTCTTCCTAATGCTTGTTAGGAACTCTAACCAAAACCAAGATCCATGTCGGATTTGGATGCTGTACAAACGCTCCCATCGAGAACCCTGGACCGCTGCTGTTGCAGATTATTTACGGCCCCTTTCAAGAGCCGGTCTTTTATTTATTTGGGGGTTTTGTTTCTTCCATTGCCCTTGGAGGCATCTTTTACAATTCCTGTCCCAGGCTTGCGGTTGGGAATGCCAAGAGCTTCAATGGGCCTCCTTGTTTCCTTCTACTGCTCCTGCGCAGGTCTTCCAAAAGGAGGCCAAAGGAAGTCCCGCTGGTTTGAACAGCAGCTGTTGAAAAGAGAACAAGGGCTGTCTTTGGACCTTTTCTCCAGCTCCCATGGAGAGCTGTTGGGTGCTGGTAAAAGCCCTTTATTGGGGGATAATTCAGAGTTCAGCTCGAGACAGGAGAGGCAAAATTGATGAACATTTTTTTTTGCTATATATAAACAGTGTTTAAAAAGCGAGAGAGAAAGAGACTTCCACTGGCTGGAGTGCTGGAATGTCCTCCTTCTATTTCCGCTCCACAGCCCTGCCGTTTGATTTTCTTGGATGAAAGAAGGAGAGGATTTTATTTGCAAGAGTTCCAGCCCTGCATAATCTGCAGGATTCGGGGCCATTGGGTGTGGGGATGGCCACCAATGTAGATGGTTGGAGGACACCTTGGTGAAGGATCAGGCTGACTATAACCTCTTGTTCTGAGGGCTTCCTGAATGATATCCATCAACCATCAACTCCTTTCCTTTCTTGGTACCTTCCTAGCTGGTTTTGGAGGCCCTCAAGTGTTCTCCTAAAATGTTCCTTGAGATCTTGTTTTGCTTTGTATTTGGGTTCAGTTGGCAGCTTGAATGTACTGTCAACATGGGTGATTTCTCCATTATTTACTGAAACAAATCCCAAGTTAGGTTTCATATATACACTTTGAGTTACCCCAGACAAACTCTGTCTCTCCCACTAGTGCAGTGCACAGCTTTTCCCTTCAAACTTAAGATTCCTCTATGCTCCGTATTTTCAGCTACCGACAAATGGCCAAGTTCTCTCAAGCACAGAGGGTTTTTCGACATCCCTGACGCAGACTCGCCTGGGACTCAAAGGGCCTTTTTGCTGTTGTATAAAGAGGCCTCCTTGCTCACCATCGCCTTGGTTTGCTCATCATGGAATCAGTGATCAGTGACACCTGGGAAGTAGTCTGCCATTTTGGATTTCCCACCTCGCCTGGAGTTGGCCATGGACATGGTTTTCTTACAGAGGATTCCCAGCTTTGTTAGCAATTTATAATTCTTCTGGAGAAAACTCTGTGGAGATCTGTGCTGGCTAAGAACCTTGCGAGGATGGAGAGACATTATTGTCATCTCCTTCTCCCTCCATCAAGCTCTGCTGTTTCTGGATTTAAGTCTTCCTTGGATGTCAGTTGGCAGGGGAACAATTGCTCTACAGGCCAAAGACCCAGATACCTGGTATTTCCAGGGGAGATGTCTTAGGTAGTGTCTAAGTTACTTGACACATCTGGAAGTCTCCCAAACCTGTCTTAAATGTCCCATTTTGGGGGCAGATTGGGGAGCTCCAAATGTGCCCCAAATCAGCGTATGGAAAAATGGCACCTTTCTTTTTCTTCTTTAGTTTATGAATCTCTTTCTGCAAACACACATATGGGAGCAGATGGGGATGATAATTCTGAAATGAATACAAAGATAGGAAGAAGCCAGATGTGCAAATGTCTTGCTTTCAAGCATTAATATTTCTGCGTGTCATTAATTGCATCCTCCTGCGATCCTGAAGAAACCTGCTTAAAGTTCTGTTTGTAGTTTTGAAAAAATCCCTCTCTCTCAATTTCTGTTGACAAGGAAAGTATGTCTCTGCCTGAGATTATTTCCCATAGGATTAGCAGACAACTGTGGTGTACAGAGATAATTAATCTGTATCTAAGGCAATTGTCTATTTTTACGGAAGAAAGTGTGTCTCTTTTGTTATTTTACAGTGGCAAAAATCACAAGTATAAAATTGCAGTTGCTTGCACAATTATTTCCTTCCTTCCTGTATTTTTCAGAGGCAGCTGAGGATGGTGATTCCATTAGCAAGGTCTGTATTCATTTCCCTCGATGTACTGGCATGGTCTGAAATTGATTTTAATGGGTGGTATTCTGTGATGGATGCGATGGTGGGGGAGAAAGACAGCTGCTTCTGTGGTCAATGCACACACACACACACACACACACCTGTGAACACAATTCCTAGGAGGACAGAGAAGTAAGAATCAATAGTTTTATTGAATCCTCGTAAGATGTGAATGCACAGAATATTTCAGCTTTTCCCAGCTGATGCTAGGCTAGACACAGTAAGAACAGAAATCTCAAGTTACTGAGTTGGCAGAACTGTAACCATGGGTAGGACTCATGATAGTGTTAACCCAGATATCTGTTAACCTCAGTATCTGGGCAATTAAGGAAAACTAACGTTTTGCTAAGTCAGAGACATTTCTCAGAACCTGGATTGGAGGAGGGGCATTGTAATTTTAGGATGGAGGCAATCGATGGGTGAAATGACAATTTCTGGAGTTGGAATACTCCAGGGTTGAAGTCCAGAGGAGAGGGGAGGTGCCTCCCTGTGACTTGAGGGTGCAGCTGAAATGATTCCCTGGAAACTTCTATCATTCGCACAAGAGTTCTGTAGGGGAAAACACCACCTGGAATTAGAACAGCTTGTAGGTCACCTACCACAAGGTGCAACTGCACTCCTAATGCCAGTGCAACCGTTGTCATAATGTACTCTGTGTGTGTGTGATTTTCTTTCTTTCTTTCTTTTTAATTGCAGCTAAGTTTCTTAAATGTTTTCATCCACAGGACAGTGATTCTCTTGGGGCAGGGGGGAAAGATGTACCGATGGTCTATGTGACAACTATTCTGGTAAGGAGATTAGCTGGGAACAGCCCAGAGTCCCTGGAGTTGATGTTACGATATTTTTATACTCCCCTTCCATCTGAGCCAGTGTGATGTACAAATCAATAGTCAGCAAAAAGCCATATACCATGATTGATTGATTGATTATATACCATAAAATCAGTGCCAACTCTTACTGTTCACATGGATAGACCATCTCCAAGATGATCTGTCCTCAACCTGGTCCTTCAGGTCCCCCAGTGGAGCACCCATCACTGCTATAATCGAGTCCTTCACCTTGCTACTAGTTGTCCTCTTCTTCTCTTTCCGTCCACTTTTCCCAACATTATGGACTTCTCCAGAGGACTAGGTCTTCATGTAATGTGTCTGAAGCCATATATATACTGTAAGCTGTAAAAACAGTACAAATATGACATTTAGCTGTATTTTGCTTAAGAACCTAGGAATAGTTAATCACATAAACCGAACACACAACACATCTGTTTAGTAAGAGGACCTACTCTTAATCCATTGCCTGGTTGAAACTGAAGGAGACCCTCTTTTAATTAATTGCATCCCAAATCCTTTAGGGGAGACCCAGAGTTTTTTGTGGCTTAGAAGGTGCACCAGACTTGGTATGGAAGGGAAGTTCAGAATTTTTCATAGAATCCTCAAGTTTTCACACCCGTGCAATGGAGGGGCCGGTCAGAAAGACGCAGTGAGATTTTTCCCTTGGTTTATCTACAGGAGGATCCCTATGTGATGGTCAGGGGCACTGAGTTAGAAGGTTACTGCATCGACTTGCTGGAGAAGCTGTCGGAAATGCTGCATTTCAAATACAAAGTGGGGATCGTGAAGGATGGGAAATATGGTAGTCTGAGTTCCAACGGGAGCTGGTCCGGGATGATCGGAGAGGTTGTGAGGAAGGTAAGCTTTTTCTTGAAGGTGTGCTCCTCAGACTAGGAGAGTGAGATCCCAACATGGGCGTCAAGGGAGTGTGACACACACACAACCAGCTTGGCAAAGTGCAGCCATGAAGGTTCCCACCAATTTAGATAGCCAAGATTCCTGGGCTATGGGACATCTGTATTGTAATGTAGACAGCCCAAGAAAAATATGTGGACTTGATGTCATCTTCTGGATGCTGGAGACAGCCAACCTCTGGTCCCATAGATACCACAAATATTGAAAAAAGATGGCTGGGGAATTTTGGGAGTTGAAGTCCAGACATCTTACAGTAGATAAGGTTGAGAAACACTGGTGTAGAGAGTAATGACTAAGGACCTTGACAGAGATCTGCAGGAACCATGACCTTGGCCAAAGGGGCTGAAGTAAATTCTCTCCCAGGTTGTGTTTGTCACCCCATGGTGTTTTACTGGTTAGTCATGTGTCAATTCACCTGTTGCTGGTGTGCAACAATGCTGCAGCAAAGTACAGTGGCACGCCCTGACAATCAGAGGCCATCTCCACCAACCAAGGGAAGACCTCCAGCCTCTCTTGAGGGCGAGTAGGAGACTTGCATGATTGATGTCAGCCCCGCTAGGTAGGCCAGACCAGGCAATCCATAATAACCAAATCTTGCAACTCCAGCAGTGCTGCATCTCCTCCTCTTCCTTTACTCCAGTGAATCTGAGAGGCGTCTTCCTGAGCCGCTTCTGAATGTTGTCTTGTAGTTCTGGACTTAAGAAGGGTTTCAACCCCTATCGATAACAGTTCTTCCACATCTTGGCCAAGATCACCTTCCTTGACTCTTTCCTGAGGGCCACAGCTTGTCACTCCTAGCTTACCCCACCAGGAGCAGTTTGCAGGGTTTGTGAAGAGAGGCCACCTGCTTGCGTGACCCCCCAACGTCATCTCCCCTCTTCTTCTCCAGGAAGCTGACCTCGCCGTGGCTCCGCTGACGATTACATCGGTGAGAGAAGACGCCGTGGACTTCACCCAGCCGTTCCTGCACACGGGCATCGGTATCTTGCTCGAGAAAGAAGCTGCTCTGGAGGAGGCCTCGCTCTTCCACTTCCTGACCCCTTTCAGCAAGGAGACCTGGGCTGGGATCCTCCTTGCTTACTTCCTCTCCAGCCTGTGTCTCTTCCTGGCCGGAAGGCGAGTAAAAGTTGGTTGCGAAAGAGGCGGTTTCAAAACCACCCAGAGCTTGGGCAAGAACCAGCTGGCTATGGCTTAAAATTTGAGGGCAGGCGCGGTCCAGAGATGCGATGCGAGAGCCACGGGAGAACCACACGGACCTGTCACTGGTGGGGGGGGGGCAGGCAAGAGCTGCCACAGGGCGATCCCAAAAAATAACGAATGGCTGCCAGAATTACAATAGAGCGCAAAGCTTTATTAAGTAATGGAAGCAATGTAGTTACACCAGGGAGCTCTCGTCCCGTTCAGCCACAACAGAGGCAATTTGTCATAATACATCCTATGGGTTCTTCAGCATCCAGGTTTATAGTCCTTGGCTCCCCCCTTGCAAACCGTGCCAGGAAATGGTGCCAGGGCGATTGACCATGACATCTGTGCATTCGTGTCAGTTGAAGCACGCATGTGGGGGCGAGGCGTGCTTCCTGCTCCCCAAGCAGCATGTGATTGATCTAGCAATGGGGATGGGAAGCTAGTTATGTGAGCAGGGGGAGCGAAGGGTTAGGAATCAGGTGTTATCCAGAATGGAAAGGCAGTTTGTGTTGGAAAAACGGAGGCTGCAGGCTCTTAATTTCCTTGCTTTGGAGAAGCGGTGGGAAGAGACTAGCTTGATACGTTCAGGGGTGGTCTGGCTTGCAGAATAATTTTTATTTCGTGCCCTTTCCGGAAATGCTTCCTAAACTCAGCGATACCTTATGACCGTGCAGCTATCCCTTCTCAGCTGGGTAGATGGAGGATGGCTGGCTGTTGGCTTGGTAACACTTCCCCCCATCTCACCGTCAGTGGGCCAAAAAGATTGTCTTCGTCGCTGTTCCTCTTAGCTTTAGTAGCGAGCAAGCTGACATCACTTAGGCAACTGTGGATCTCATGGAAAAAAAGCTTGGTGGGATTGGAACCACTGGGGGGATGGGATGCCACCAGGAAAACCTGGGGCTGTAGGATTTGTAGAATGGAAATAAATCAATCAATCCCAGCAAAGGAAAAACACTTTCCTAGATCTCTGTCGTGGCTTACTCGCTTCTCGGTTTAAGCTGTTTTCTTATGGATGTGCAAAGGGCTCAGCTTGGGCAACCCCAAGCCTATATCCCCTGCGTCCAGCAGAAAGTCTTTGCTTTGCTTCTTCGTAGAATGAGCCCTTCTGAATGGAATGAAAACCAGGAGAACTACTTCACCTTCCTGAACAGCCTGTGGTTTGGTGCCGGGGCGCTCACCTTGCAAGGTAGGCTATAGAAATGGAGGCCGTGACTTGTCAGTATCTGAATCATTGCTCCTTTGGGCACAATAGGTGGCAGCTCCTAGCCAACCTTGGCTGATCTCAAAAAAACTAAGCAGGGCTGGATCTCCTTAGGACTTGGACAGGAGACCTCTAGGAAATCACAAGAGGGGACACAACCTTGAGGGAATCTTGAGGGACGGTGGGACAACGTCTTGGACTAATTGCAACAGTTCACACTGATGGCTGCAAATGCTTCTTTCTGCCTATTGAAGTAGCAAAGAATTCTTCTGGGATATTAGGAGAGCCAGTTGAAGACCTTCTGTGGTTTCCTTGCAGTCCTCAGTTTGATGAAAGAGTGACATGCCAACCAGAGGATGCCCGTCCAGGTCCTGTCCTTTGGACCATCCTTTCTCCATGCTCCCCAGCCTCCCTGGCTTCCCCTCCCTCTTTGAGAAGGGAAGAGAACCCTCCCATTTTTTTTCTACTGCTGGCACTAGTCTTGCTCTGGTCGGCCCAGTTCAGACAAACAGGTGTTAAGTCCTTCTGCTGCTTCCTCCAAGGAAGAGGCCGAGGCCGAGCAGAGAACTCACCAGATGGCAAAGCCTGGGCTGCTCACCTTTACGGCCTCGCTACCTGGGCCCTTCTCCTCTGCCTCCTCTACAGCCAGGGCCCCCATTGGCACAGGCCCTGCGGTCTCTCTGGTTCCCCGCTAGACAAGATCCAGGATGACCTGGATCAACCCACTATTTTTGCACAACATGCTAAGCGGGGTTAGCTTTAACCTTGGGTGGCCTTGCGCAGCCCATTACAGAAAGCACCACCTCAATTCTTAGCAGGTGGGGGCAATTTCAGCACAGCAGCAAACAGAGATGGCCTCCAAAAATAGGATTTGCCCATGGTGTATTGTGCCAACCCAGATCTGCCCAGTGAATTTCTGATATGCCATGATGCTCACCCTCGGTTAATTCAGGACATAACTCATCGAGTTGCGGGTGGCGGGCAAATGCAATCTTGGTTTTGTCTAATCAGGAGACGTGTCTTTTTCCGGGCTCTTCCCGTCATTTGAATTCTTTGCGGGGCGGAATCAAATTCAGCAACTTTCTGGACTTGCAGGCGCAACGTCTCGTGGTGTCCAGCACAGTTTGTGGTGCCAAATAATTCCCAAGCCACCACAAGAATTAAAAAGGTGTCTCTGCAGCCTGAGTTCCTAATGTTTCAACCGCTTGGCATTTTTCAATCGACTGAAATGGCCATTCATTCCACTCTTGCTCATCCTGTACAGGCACCATTCCTCGACCCAAGTCCCTTTCCATACGGGTCATTTCTGCCATCTGGTGGCTGTTTGGCATTGTGGTCCTGGCGGCATACATCGCCGGCTTCAGCTTTATTCTGGAGTCGGCCTCCCACCATCTTTCCATCGAGAGCTTTGAAGATCTGGTGAAGCAAAGGCAGCTGGAGTTTGGGACCATGGAGGGATCTTCTACTCTCCAATATTTCAAGGTAGGCCATGCGTGCCTAGGAGTTCCTTGTGAGCTCCTCTGTTATTTCTCCTTTTGGCATGGGGTTCCCGCAGGTTTTTTGCAGCACCTAAGGAGTAGGGAGCGTGGGAAAATTACACTGCCCTTGGTTTTTCAGCATCCCTGGATGCGACGCCGAATTTGTCTCTGCATCCTCAAGGTCACTGCAACTTTCCCTGAACTGACCACCCCAGAATTCCCCAGCCAGCACAACTGTTGCAGGGAATTCTGGGAGTTGAACTGCAGGGCGCATTAAATCAATCATGGTTTGGAGTGGAATAGCAAGCGTTGCACAAAAAGACAGGTAGCATCAAGGTTAAATGAATTGGGTTCTTGAAAGAGGGGGTCTGTCACCCGCTGATGAAACATTTGTCATCTCCTGATAACAAGAGGGACCGCAGCAGAATCCTGCCACAGGATTGGCGCAGGACCCCCCTTCTCCTGCGTTGTTCCGTTCCATTCCTGTATTGGCCCGGTAGAGCAAACATTCAAGGAACTAAGTTATTAATGTAAATTTAAGGGCAGATCACCAGGCCTGCGCAGCGTTTCAGTTTTAAGAGTTGATTCAAAGGGATCAAATGTCCAAATGACATTTCTGAATCGGATCAGACTGGATGCCTTTGAATCCTTCGGCGTGCCTGCCCAAAAGCCTTGTTTGCAAATGGATTCAGCAACCCAATGAGCACAGCACTGGATTTGCACGAAGCGGACTGTGTTTGCATGCCCAAAGGACAGCAGGCCTCTGCATGGCCAGGGGGCCTAGCATCAGCTCTTTCCTTGTGCCGGCAGAATTCCAAGAGTCCGGTCCAGCAGCTGGTCTACGAGTCCATGAGCAAGAAGGAGGCCGTCCTGACCAAGAGTTACCAAGAAGCGATTCAGCGAGTGCTGGCTTCCAATTATGCTTTCATCGGAGAATCCATTTCTCAAGATCTCGCTGTTGCCCGGCACTGCAACTTGGTCCGGTCCCCAGAAGTCCTGGGGGCCCGAGGTTTTGGCATTGCGACCCCAAAAGGTAAGATAGTGAGTGCTGGGGGGAGTCACCCCCTAAATGTTCTTAATTACAGCCTGATTGATCAATGGATATGAAAATCTATCATCTTAGACTGCTCTTTCTCAACCTTAACAACTTTAAGATGTGTGGACTTCAGCTCAACTCAACTCAACTCAACTCAATTGAAGCTTGCTGGCTGGGAAATTCTGGGAGTTGAAGTCCACACACCTTAAAGTTGCCAAGGTTGAGAAACACTCTTAGACCAACGGCAGCAGGAGAGCACCAGTGATTAGGGTGGTGACAGTTGTCAAAATCGGTGCTCTGAGATTAAATCAGGGCTTCCTCTTTGTGGTGCCTTTCAAATACTTGAAGAAGATGATTGG